TCTCTCTCTCTCTCTCTCTCTCTCTCTCTCTCTCTCTCTCTCTCTCTCTCTCTCTCTCTCTCTCTCTCTCTCTCTCTCTCTCTCTCTCTCCGCTATCTCTCTCTCTCGTGCATGCGCACGCATCCACGTCCCATATCATGATTGCTTTGAGCACACAGTTAAGGAATACGTCACGGGTAAACAAAGGGGTTCGGGTCAAGGACAAGTTGGACAACGTAGTGCTCAATCATAGGTATAGCCCAAGGTCCAGGTATAGGTCCAGACTCATGAGGAGGCTAGCCAGGTGGAACCACATACCCAAAACAGTGTCTTATTGTTAGCAAAACCAATCTGCGACAGCAGTCCAACTCCTGCCCTGAGCATCTGATCGTCCGGCAACTGAGAAAAGTAGCTCGCATATCTGGGGAGTCTGGGCAAAGCAAAGAGGTAGTCAGTCTCAACAAGCAAAGGTAGTAAGGTACACATTTTGGTCGGATCTGCGGGTCAGCAACTTAGCACACACAGTGGCACAGGTATACTATTGTAGGACCAGATGGTGCAGCATCACTCAAGGCTTGCTGTATATTGTCACATGTCTATTGACTAGCACACATCACGAATACAAGGCATGGAAGAAGACAACTGTACAACGTTGCAAAGAGCTGTGGGAGACGGACTGTTGCCCATGTCCATGCACTGCGACCAAATTCATGCAATTGCAATGACAACATCCAAGTAATTGCGACAATTCCATGCAAACAGCCCCCACATGCATGAAATTACTACAACCTTCATTCCATTGCGACCAAGCTCGTGCAATAGTGACCTCCTAAACTAATGCAGCCACATTCTTGCAACTGCTATCACATTCATAAAATAGCACCCTCACTCATGTAAGTGAGATATAACTGCAGAGTCGCACAGAGACAAAGTTCTGCTCTGAAACAGTTTTCACCTTTGGCAGTAGCCGATACAGATCCCAGGGGTCGATCCCTTGACCTCAGCTTACCTGTGTACAGTATCTGCACAGTTCCCTGGAGTTGAACCCGTGACCTGCACGATAGCCAGTGGTAAGTAGGTCACCGTAGGTTGTAGGCTGTAGGGAGATTCGAACTGTAGACCTGTAAGGTAGGAGTCCAAGTAGAGTCCAGAGGCCTAGCTGTAGTCCTTCTAGAAGGTCGGCAAGTGGTCAAAGTGGTGAGTCTAAGGGAGGCCCACGTTTCCAGACGAAGACAAGTGGCAAGGTCAACAGGTAGGACCTCAGTGCAACTGCACTGAGTCGATGGTAGGACTGCCTACAGTCAGCAGAAGAGTCTAGAGAGTCCCAGTCCAGTCCAGCAAGTACCACAGGGGGACTGTGAGCACCAAGGGCCGA